TTCATTAAAAAAAAAATGACAAAATACTGTGAAACAAAGCCTAAAAATTTACCAGGTACATTTAGTACCTGGTAATCTAACAAAATATGTATATTAATCTGTCTTTAATTCCATAGGTCAAATAATCATGAATGCTAAAGCAGAGGCCTAATACACCACCCCCTACATTTTTCAGATGAGAAAAATGAGGCCTATACTAGAGTAAGAAAAATTCAAGTCTCCTAATAAGCAGCCCATTTACTATACCACACAATCTATACAACAAATCACTAAAGTCATGTATGTACTTAAAGCATACATGAAACTATGGTTTGTCAGACTAGCAACTAATGACAAAGTTATAAAGTATGCCTCTTTTAAATAACCTTTCTTAGAAAGAGATCAAAATAACAATAATGGACTTCGAACAGATCTTGTGTATAACAGTTAAAAAAATTTCTTTTACCTGTCCCAATTTTAATTAACCTAAGAATATGTTCCAGTTTATCTGAAAACTATGTTTTCCTAGGCTATGGCCTTTATGAAATGCATCTGCTTAGGAAGGGTGAAATTACTGATTTAAAGTTAATTTGGGTAAAATGTGTGTCTATCAACTGGGAAATTGATGAACAAACTAGGTTATATGAATGTAAAAGAACACTGTTGTGCAATAAGAAATAATATGAGGAACTCAGATAAACATAGGAAAATTTTTATAAATAGATGTAAAATATTCAGAACATAAGCAAAACATATCCAATGACTACAATAGTGAAATTGAAAAGAACAATAAATGTAAGTTGCTCTCTGAGTAATTATAATAATCAATTTTAGTTCCAGAGAACAGATAATGAAGCACTGCTTCCTCCTCTTCGCAGAAGAGAGGGTCTAAAGGGGCAGAATGTTGATGCAGACAGAGTCCTCCATCAGCTGTTTTTCCTTAACTATTTTTCTTGGTTAGAAGCGAAAATTCAATCCATGATGGGGTGGGGGAAGGGAAAAGGAGAGCAGAATGATATGTAAAAATGTTGGTGATGTTTTTTAAAGAGGTATCAATAAATATTTTTTAGTGTGTAAAGTGAATTGTGGCTAAATTTTCATAACAAAGATGACAAATTAACAATGAGTTCAATACTTGCAATATAAACATACATAAATACAAAACAGAGAGTAGGTATAAAAGATGAAGTTTAAATGAGAGTCTTCATATTTACTATTGGAGTATTTGGCATGGGAAAAGAAAATAATAATCGGGGGGGAAAAAGTCCTCCTATGAAATGTATGAGAATGTGGGGAATGTCAATTTTTTAAAGGAGGATAAAAATAAGTCACATAGGTAAAAAACTGTATTTTGAAAAAAGAAACTACCATTCTGAACACCAACTACTCAGAAGGGTCAAGAATCTATTAATAAAACAATATTCATTTTCTCAATAAGATATACAATAAAACCTCATTTATTCAGCATCACGGAACAAGATGCTCACAAAGTCATTTTTCCAGATGAATAAAGTTGGCCATTTTAAGCACCAAATTTTAAAACTGCAAAGTTTTAGAGCTGAATGGGCCAGCTGAAGATTATCTACAGAACTACCAACTCATCTTCTCAATAAAGCCCAGAGAAGTGATATTCCCATGGTCACACATGCAGTTAGTGGCAGCAATGTAACTCTTCAGAGACACAGGTCTCTTAAGATCCAGTAGAACAGTCTTTCCAATACAAGAGGCTACCTTCCTTTACATAAACTATTTTTGATGTATACTTTGATATGTCTAAGAACTATGACAGAACCACTCATTAATGTGGGTACAGACTGCAATCCATTCATTTCTCCTCACCCTGTACAAGCCCTGCCCATAACTCTCCACAGGAAATCCACCCAACTTTATTCTTATACCTCTTCCTCTGGATTTCTTGACATTATGTGGTTATCAATGAAGCATTCCACCTAATCCTCTCCTGCTATATGACAAACTCACAAAACTTACCAATTACAGATCCTTCTGACGATATCCTTTACATGGTTTCTCCTCAGTAATTCTTTGTTGGTAATACATTGCAGCTTATGCACATTTACCACACATCACCCTTCTCCCTCTGCCCTTTGGTGATCCCTAACTTTAATTCTTTACAGAGTATGGTAGTTCCAAAACTTCAACTATACAGCATCACTATGTTGGTATGAAAAAATGAGGCATCTGTTTCACAGAGAAACCATAAGCCCATTAAAAAGCTTTGAACAATTTCCAAAGGCAAGCCAGTCTGCTCACTGTCTCCTTTTCAATTGGGAGCCCCTTCATTGTTCATCCATGGAGTCTGTTCAACAACTAGGTTTTGACAAGCCAGACCTCTAAGTTATCCATTCAATTGCATATCATAGTCTGGAAAACAACAGGTTTTTCCAGTATGTATAATTAACCCAAACAGGTAAGTGATTATGGAATTCACTTAGGAAGCTTTACAATGTTTGTGTTCAATGAATTCAGCATAACATTATCCACAAACAGATCATCTGAAAGAAATTATCCAAAGAGAATGAAGCTCTCTTCCACCTAGCCTTTGAACAGGAATGTGTTCCACGTCAGTGGCAAATATCTTTGGTGAAGACAGCTCTCCATGATTAAATTAATATTAATACAAAGGTGACTGAACAATGCTTATGTTGTTATACTCTTAAAGGAATTGTGTATTACTCTGACACATGCAAAGGAAACACTGTTAGAGGAGAGGCTTTACGGTGACATTTTGCTTTAGTAAATCAAATTTTTTTTTTACAGAAAACAATGATAAGAATCCTGAGAAACTATTCTCTACACCTTCTAGTCAACTAAGTAACTGTAATAATGTGGTCTGTTACAGAATATCTTTTGCAAAAGTCTGCCAATCCACTTTTCCAACTTTAGTAAAAAGCATCATTTGGGTATGTATCAAGTTTATGTCTTATAAACTACATGATACACAGTTAATTCTCATCAATATTTTATACAGAATGCAAAGTAGGCATATGAGTCAATAGTTACTAGTGTTTTCCTTACTTTTTTTTTGTCTTTTTTGGGGAACAGTAATAGATCCTATTTTTTCCAAGTATGTGGCATCCTCTCCTTTCTAGAAATTTTTGAGGGAAATTTTCCTTAAATATATTAATATAAGGGGAGTCTCTTCCATTTAAGAAAACTCAGGTTTTCTTAAAAGAATTAAGAGATGATAATTTAACTGTTCGTGTTCATCACTATGAACAGTATATGCTGTAATTACTGTGTGGCAATATAATAAATCATTTTTTAAATATGGAAGGCCTTTTGTCCTTATACTAAATAATCCCAAGCTACCATATCCTTTGAATTATTTCTGCTTTTTTTTTTAAATTCCCATTTCTTTCTGCTTTCAGGATATCCAAATGCTATTTTTCTCTTCCAGGTTGTTTGCCTCTAACAACTCCCTGATCTTCTGTCTCTATATATAGAAACACTTCTACACTGCTGGGAACTAGGAAAGGAGATGATAATAAAGTCTATTAGAATTACATGTAAAATAGATGCAATGATACTGAAAGGCTTACTATGATTTATGTGCATGTACTTGTTCATAGATTTTGTAACCTACATTTTGGCTGCAGAGAAGCTTCCCTACCCTTCTCTCAGCTCCACAAGAAGGCAGAAGGGGAACTAACGCAGGAAGAGTTTCTTTTTAATTCTAGATCAGGAGTTCTAGGAGTTACGTCATGGGCTCCTTTGGTAGTGTGGTGAAGTCTGTGAACCCTTTCTCTGAATGATGCTTTTTAAATGCATAAAATAAAACACACTGGATTACAAAGAAAACTAGTTACACGAAAGTACAACTATAAAAATATATTTTTTTAAAGTTCATGGATTGCAGGTTAAGAATTCTCGTTCTAAACTACAGAGGTGTGTTACTATATATAAAATCAAACAACGTTAAAACAAAGTTATTCCACTACAACAGTGCAAAGGCAGGAAAGATCTAATGTTTAATGACTACCTTTGAATTAAAAATTCAAGTCTGAATAAAAGAAAATTACAAAATTTATTTGTTCTTCAGAATATAACTAAATATAAAACTTTAATATCACAGTGAAGAATTTCTAACAGTAAGGACAATTTTTTTTCAATTAAGATGAGAAAAAGGCAAACTGGCTAGATAAGCAACTAAATAAAGTAAAATGGAAAATTAAGACAAGAAAAATAAAACATGTGCAAAAAGCCTACCATTTAATACAAACAAGCCAGGAAAAGATATATATAATGCAAAAAGAACAAGACAATGAATTACACTACAACTTCTCTAAAATTCATTATTAACGTTATTTCCCATTGCACTGAATTCAGTAACAGCAGACAACTTTGGATCTTTTCTGTCAGGAGAAAAGTACAAGGTCCTAACATCATCCAAGTTAAGTTAATCAAATACCCAAAAGAACTTACTATAAATATTTGTTTCTCACTATAAAGCTGCCTCACAGAATCAACTTCATCTCAAAGCCAGCAATATGAAACTCTAATCTACTAACAATTCCTATAATTTACAGATGGACTAAATTAGGCAAAAAGGAAGACAACATATGTAAAATCAAGATAAGATAAAATCAAAACCTCTGCCCCAATAAAAGTTCTTACACTTCAGAGAGGCTAAAATTTAATATACATCAACTAACTTTAAAATTCATCAACTAAAAATAGGCATCAACTAAATTTCCTAAAGCCATGTGAAGAAATGGGAGTCCTATGTAAAATCAGTATTTCCATTACTGATATAGAGAAAGCAAAGAGGATTCTAAAAAATACTGCAAGTTAACTTCCATCAAACCACAAGAAAACTTTTCCAACATATAAGAACAGGGGAAATTTAATGAGTATTCTGTGAAGAAGTTTTACAAAAGAAGCAACAAATTCTAGGTGTCAAATGACCCAGTTAAGTTTCAAGAGATGATGGTGCTAAATTAATCCGGACTTATGACTACTGAAAACCATCCTATACCTATAAAGCAAAATCAGATTCTTACCTGGGGAGGGTAATTGCTCTCTGAAGACCATCGTGAAGATTGGTCATTTGGCTTATCCACTAAAATATTCCTAAAATAGAGGGAAAGAAAAACACCTTAAGTTCAAATCACTCTTAAGAATTGACTGTATTGGCAATATTAAAAATAATTATTTCATTATGGATAGCAAAAAAATATGTAAATGCTTGAAAGTAAGGTAATTAGGCCACAGATCAACAACCCAAAGACCAATGCAATAAAATCTCATTATAATCCATAAGTCTATGATTTTATATTGCTACACTATAATTGATATTCTATTTGCACAGAAGTGTATCTCCCCTAACTTGAAAGCTGCAAATCCCTTGTTTCTAATCAGTTGGTCAACAAGCATTCATTGGGTATCTACTAAGCATGTAGCACTGTGCTACATGCTGGAGATACAAAGAAAAACACAAAAAAGAAAACCTAGTGCCTGCTCTCAAGATGCTCACAGTCTAATCAGAGAGACAACATAAAAACATCTACATGAACAGAAGCAAAAGAATCTAGAAGCCTAAAGTTCTATAAACACAAAGATTCCAATTATAGTGGGGTGAGGAAAGATCATATCATAAACAAATTGAAGGATCAAGAAAGAATTATTTTCAGATCTATGAATGGGGAAGAGTTCATGACGAAACATGGGATAGTAAGAATCAGAAGATAAAATGGACAAATTAACTTATATAAAATTTAAAAGATTTTGCACACACAAAAAGAATAACTGCTAAGATTGGAAAGGAAATAGTTAAGTGGGGAAGAAAATCTTTGCAACAAGTTTCTCTGATAAAGGTCTCAATTTCAAGATATATAAGGGACTGAGTCAAATTTATAATAAAAGCCATTCCCCAGCTGATAAATGATGAAAGAATATGAAAAGGCAGTTCTCAAGGGAAGAAATTCAAATTACCAATAGCTATATGAAAAAATGTTGCAAATTATATCAGAGAAATACAAACCTGAGATTTCACCACATGCATCAGATTGGCAAAGTTGACAAAACAGATACGGCAAACGTTGGAAGGTCTTTGGGAAAAAAGGCACATTAATGCTACGCTAATGGAGCTACTAGCCATTCTGGAAAGAAATTTGAAACTATGCCCCAAATGATATTTAAATCCTTTGATTCAGTGATACCATTACAATGCCTATAATTCAAATGGATCATAGAAAGAAGAAAAGGATCCATAAGTACTAAAGTATTTATAACAGCTTTTTTTTTAGTGGCAAAGAAGTAAAAACAAGGGACGTGTTCTTTAACTGGGGAATGTCTATAGAAATTATAGTATGTGAATATAAAGCATATATTGCATTGTAAGAAATGATGAAGGGGGATGATTTCAGAGGAATTTGGAAAGATTTACAGGGTAAGTTGGACAGAACTAGGAGAAAATTTATATTCTAACAATAACATTGTGGTAACAAACAACTCTGAACTCTGATCAATGTAGGGAGTGAGCAGCCATGATTACAGAAGATCAGTGATAAAAAGCACTACCCATATGCTAAAAGAGAGGTGGCAAATTAAATATATAAAATGAGACACTTTTTTTTAACATGGCCAATGTGGGAATTTGTTTTGCTTAACTGAATGTTTGTTACAAGAGTTTTCTTTTGCTCTCCTTTCCTCTGCCCCCAGTGAATGGGGAAAGACAGGAAAGGGATAGAAAATAAATACTGGTTAAATGAAAAAAAATTTTTTAATCTAGGTGAGAGGGTCTGAACTAAGGTGACAGCTGTATGAGTTGAGAAGAAGGGTCAGATAGGAGAATGAAAATGTAGAAAAGGCAAGATTGACAACTGATTAGATATGAGGGATAGTGAGGAGCTGAATCTAAAGAGGTGCTTAAAAACTTCAGAGACTAAAGGATGGTAGTATCTTCAACAAAAATATGGAAGATTATAAGAAGAAAAGTTTGTGGGAAAAGATATTAAGTTCATTTTTGCCTATGTTGAGTTTAAGATGACTTTCAGGACATCCCATCTGAAATAAGCAATTACTAATATAGGAGTAGAGCTCCTCAGGTAGTTAGGGTAGAGCCACAGATATGTCAATTCCAAAAAGAGGATAGTTAAATCTGTAAAATCTGATGATGTAACGAAGAGAGTGTAGCAGATGATGTAAAATACACTGTTTTAGTTGCTAGGAGTGATACAAAATCGATACTTCTCAGTCTACTTTACTGGATCTTATTCAGGTCACACCTGCTTATGGTTGGGGATCACCAGGGCTCTGTCCCCGGCTCTCTTTTCTCCCTCTACATTATTTCACTTAGGGATCTATCCCATTAGCTCACATGAGTTCAATTACCTTCAGGTTAACGATGCTCAGATCTACTTATTTAGCCCTAACCCAGGGGTGGGGAACCTGTGGCCTCAAGGCCACACGTGGTCCTCTAGGTCCTCAAGAGCGGCCCTTTGACTGAAACCCCCTTAATAAAAGTTCCCCACTCCTGTGCCTAACCTCTCTCCTTATCTCTGGAATCAAATCTCCAACTCCTTATTAGAAATCTCAAATTCTATGTCCCTTTGACACCTTAAACAACATGTCCAAAATAGTATTCATTATTTTTCCTCCTAAATCTTCCTCTCTTCAACCTCAACTCCTCAGTTTCCCTCATCCCTTATTAACCAATCAATTGTCAAATTTCTACCTTTATAACATCTCTCCAACCATCCTCTTCTCTCACGGTCACCACCCTGGTGCGGGTCCTCATTGCCTCACATCTGGACTCAAGAAACAGCCTTTTGGTTAGTCTCTCTGATTCAAGTCTCTCCACTTAGCTGCCAAATTGATCTTCCTAAACCACAGCATCACCCTATTCAATAAATTCCAGTGGTTCACTACTGTCAACTGGATCAAATAGAAAATGCTCTGTTTGACTTTTAAAGCTCTTCCAAACCTACCTTTTAAGTATTCTTACATCTTATACCCCTCCATGTAGACTGATCCAGTGATACCAGCCTCCTTGCTATTCTTCAAACATGACACTCAATGTCCTGATTTTGAGTGTTTTCACTGGCTGTTCCCCATGCCTGGAATTTTCTCCCTTCTAATCTCCATTTCCTGGCTTCCTCTGCTTATTTCAAATCTCAGCTTAAGTTCTACTTTCTGCAAGAAGTTTTTCTTAGGCCTCCTTAGTCTTAGTGCTTTCTCTCTAAGACTATCCTCAACTTATCTTGCATATACTGTGTTTGTACAAAGTTGTTTTCATGTCGTCTTCTCCATTATACTGTGAACTCCTTTGGAATAGGGACTGACTTTTGGGGGGGGCTTTTTTTTGTATCCCCCATGCCTAGCATAATGCACTTAATAAAGGCTTATTGAGTTCACCAGGTACTTTGTAAAAGGAACAAAATACAGAAAAAGTACTGAAACTAAATGTGAGGAAGAAGAGACTGCTTTCAGTTGGGGAATCATGGTTTAGAACTGGAAAGGCCTGTAGAGACTGAAAAATGAAGTCCAGGGAAATGAAATGACTTGCCTACTGTCACAGGGGAATTAAATGGCAGAGTCAGGATTCAAACCCAGGGAGTATGACTTAAAAAGCCTTCTCAGAAAATAAGCAACTGGTGAGAAAGTCAAATGAGATTTAATTGCAAACTTGAAGCTAAGTCAAATTTCATCATTAGACTTACAGGGAATATTAAGGCACCAATAATTAGAAATAAGAATGAGGGACTAAGAAAAAAAAAAGTAAGTGAATTACAAATAAGTGTCCTTCTGGATCCACCTGGGAGCAATTTTATGATTTGCTTATAAAGACTTACAAGGGGATGAGAGAAATAATATTAATAGACATGTATCCAATACTGGACCAGGATTTTATTTGGTACTATCTTCAACACTGTAGAAATTAGTGAAGGAAACAAATGATTTCATAACAGTTTTAAATATTCCATAGCTGTAGGTCTAAGATAAATAGGATTCCTGCCATTCTCAGTTCATAGAGCTACTCATACATTGACTAATCTCCCCCCCACCTATCGGCAACTAAGAGTACTGCAGAAATCAATAAACGGGGAAATTCCCCTTTCCAAGGTACTGAAACCTATGGCTACTTAAGTTTTATCATCATGCTCCCCAAAATGCAGTTTTAGATGTCACCCCCCCCAAAAGACTTACAAGTATATGTGATGATATGTCTACACAAGAGTGTAAAATACAACTATAGCATACAGTATAACTACATCATACTAAAATAAATTATAATGTATAGTATATTCATTTGTCCTTTATTAGTCCCTTAACTTTCTTAAAACATTCAAAGTACTTTACTATACAATACTATTTCATAGTATAGTACTATACTCTGGAATGGGATTCAGGAAACAAGTACTAAACCAGAGTCCCCAGTCTTTGACCTCCTACAAATAAATCACTTATGTACTCTCAAGCCTCAATTTCCATTTCCTCATCTGTAAAATTAGGAGATTGGACTAGATAGTTTCTAAGGCTCCTTACAACTATAAACTCCTATAGTTTTCAATTCTCTAGAAACCTAAAAGGAAATGAATGAGTGAATAAAGCCTTTATTAAGCACTTAATGTGCCAAGTGAAAATAAGATAAACTAACAAGAATAGTGACATTAATGTCAGGAAGACTCAAGGAAGGGATTTTTCTGGACTAAAAATGGGATCTGGGATTGTTAAATGTGCCCCACTAACTGAATAAAGTGAGGGGAAAACTCTAAAAATTTAATTCAATTATATGTAGTTTTGACAGGCAGTATGGCATAGTAGATAGACAGCTGGCCTTAAAATCAGTAATAATTTGATTCAAGTTCCTCCTGTAACAAATAGTAGCTATGTGACTCTGGACAACTGATTTAAGCAATCAGTACTCTCAGGTAACTCTCTAAGAGCCTAAGTTCAGAAAAGGTGCTGGCCCAAGTCAGTAGAAAGCGATTCCTCACTTGGGAGTTCCCTAAACCAATAAAACCACAAATCCAGACCCTTCCACTTTGAATGGCTGTACACTTGAACTTAATGGATGAACTAGAGTAAACAGAGTGATTATAGGGATACTACTAAAGGAGATAAGAATA